GTTTTGTTTTCAGAAATGAGAAGCCATGATTCTTCAGATGCCTTCTCACAAATGTTTCTGTTCCATGTTTCCTTTCTCTGATAAATTATGCTCACCCTAATAAATCTGATGCAACTTCTCCAGTTTTTGTTCATTGGCAGGAAGCAGTGACAGCTGATAGGAAATTGAGCACATTTACCAGAGAAAGGAAACATGGAACAGAAACATTTGTGAGAAGGCATCTGAAGAATCATGGCTTCTCATTTCTGAAAACAAAACCAATCAAAGTCAATCTAGATGATTTATTACCTAAAGCAGAAGAGCAAAGAGTGGACCACACTCTCCAATAACAGCATGCTACTTGAGTCCAGCCAAATAATTTTGGCCCTAGAACCAAAACACTTTACAATCACTTCTCTCTCTCCGGGGCATTCATAATAAAATTATAATAAATTAAATAACTAATGATTTACTGTCCTCTCACGTTACCTAGTAACAGGCTATTCCAGTCTAGTCTATAGCTCAGGGATTCCTTCCTAGATTTCTATCTATGTGCTATCAAGGATTTTGCTTAGATTTTTTTTTCAGACCAGCCAGCAGGTATGTGCTGCAAGAACTTTCAGAAAGATCTTCAAGCTGAACATTAAGATAAACATTAAATTTATCTATTACCTATTGTGGGGGAGATCGGCGGGGGAGAAATCCAATAAATAAAATAAATAAAAAATAATAAAATAAAATTTATATTTAACAGATATGTTAAAAAAGAGCAAAAAGGGGGGGGGGAGGAGAACAGGCATCCTGTGGGCTATCATCTAATTTCAAAAATATGAAAAACATAACTTCAGCATTGAAAAATACATTTTTAGTACGTAGGGCAGAGGTAGATCACATGTCAGCCTTCAGATGCTGCCAGTTCTAGTCAACTAGGGAGTGAAAGAAAATGGAAGTTGCAGTCCAGCAGTTGCAAGGATGTCCACTTGTACTGGCAATTAATCTTTCCAAGGGTACACTTGGGCCCTGCTAAGAGGTAGAAAACTTTGCAAATTATGACAAAATGAGATGTAATGAGAGCCAATGTCATATAGTGGTTAAAATGCTGGGGAGTGGGGGGAACCAGGTTGGAATCCAACTTCAGGCACAGAAGTTCACTTGTGACTTTGAGCTGGTTACTCTCAACCCAACCTTCCACCCAGATTGCGACTGAGAGGAAAAATAGGAGGAGGGAACACTATGTAGGCAGCCATGAGCTCCTGAATAAAAGCTCCAGTGTAAATCTAATAAATAAATCAAAACAAGTAAACTCACAAAAAGCTAGAATAAAGACTCGGCTTAAATTGTGAT